CCGGGAGGCGAGCGTGATGCCTTTCCCTGGAAACTACATTGTTACATCGACCCAAACTAGCTATACAACATTAACATAAGATATATCTTTCTACAAAACTAGCAATCGTACACATGCAATGCACATTAATTAATTCCAGAATATGATGGATGAAAATATAATGTAATGTACAAACCAATATTTTATTTAAGTATACCCTCAATTGAAGTGGTCGTCTCAAACCGCCCGAAGGAAAATATAATGAACATTGATCAAGCAAGTGAGAGGTCATAGTTCGTAAGGATTAATTATGCCAAAAAGAATTTGCCCAATTTATACCATGAGCCCCTAACGACAAAGATATGGATTATTGCTCATATCAAAAGAATCACACAACCTAGTACTTGTATGAACAATACTTTTTGTGAACATAACTTGAATGAATAACATAGTAATCATGCACATGCAAACCAGTTTCTGCAAACATATTTGGACACGAAAAGAGTAGAATTCTCTTGACAGGTTTTCTTACGCTAAGATTCCTTAAAGCATTTAAGATAAAAATCAATAGACCTTATTAAGCATAAAGTGGTTAAGGGAGGTTATAAAGCATTTAAGATAAAAATCAATAGACCTTATTAAGCATAAAGTGGTTAAAGGAGGTTATAACATTCTTCGTTCACCAATACACTTACGGTTAATTATCAAATAGGGTAAAAGATATCAAGCAGGTAAAATTAGAAGTGTCACGACCAACTCATGTTGTTCATATTAGTATATACTGACTCTATTTTTTGGCGATATACACACAATATGTGGTTGGTCGAATGGACAAGGGAGTGGTTATTTTGGTTATATGCAACTGATACGTGTCGAGTTTCGGGAGCAACTCGTATGCAATCTAACGATTTACTGATATGATAGGTCATGAAAAACTTGAAAATAAAATGACAATATTAAGACAATATGCATCTATCGGGCCATCAAATTTCAAGTCCGAATTAAGCCAATCCACATGTCAAGAAAGAAAATAAAATCTGCTATGAGCAGTACCCACGTACTATTCACAATCAATTACAACACAATTTTTTTTTATTTTCTGAAAGGAGATTAAAACACCCGACCTTTGCAGCATTGTGATGCACACAACCATTCATATAATTATTATGCAGAGTACATAACAATGTAAACCACGACCGAACCATTACAAGATATAAAGAAACACCTACAAATAAATCGACTTCTTCCGCAACATCGCCTTCAAAAAGGATAAACATCCTTGCCTCATCGTTGCCACGTGCGGTCATAAATGGTCTGGACAAGGATTTTCATCCTGGTTGATGCGACCAATCAAAGAAGACAAACACAGTAGTAAGTAGATAATGCCTTCAACAAGGTAATGACGTAATACAACTCTTAATTTGTCTCTGTTTTGCTGGTGCATGTATCCAGTTTGAACTCCAAATTTTGTATCATAGAATATATATCTTATATCAATGTTGTGAAGTTGTTTTTGTTACTTTCTTCATATCTATGTGATGTTAATTAGTTGCCATGCTATGCCTAAAGCTGAATTTGCATCGTAGTTGGTCTCTCCTGAGATTGAGTGGCATCTCAGTCTCTCAGTCATATGTTTTAAAACAAATGGCAAGTTTTAATTCCTACAAGTGGTTTTTATTTTTTCGTAACCACCTACGCGCAACTAGGTTTAACATACGGAAATAATAAATCCTACAAACCTAAATAGTTGATTCTCACTATACTAAATATATTTATCTCAATATGCCCACATGTCACTTGACCATATACGCCACGTTATCAACCCCACTACTTTTATTTCTCTCAACATGCATGGAAAATGCTATGTACTTATATTTTCTCGTAGCGTGCACCCGTTTCAACTCACCACACATGCCATCTTATCAACTCCACCACTATTTCTCTCAACATGCATGTGAATTGCTATTTATATTTCATAAATATTTCACAAAATATGATAATCCAGTTTAATAAATAATATATATTTCCACTTTTTCACCTCATATCCAGATTATGGACAACCAAATCTCAACGAAATATAGTGCGACCATTTCCCGCAGCAATGCACGAGGTTACCCTATCACCTAGTACCATGTAAAAAGAAACACATGTTGAGTGTCATTTTCAGAATGAGATTTCTTTCTTTTTCAGAATCGAGATTTCTTTTATATAGTGGATGCAACCTATTTTGTGGGAATACAACGCAACTCTTAGGTCATCCAATCCCATGATTCATGAGGGTCTGTGATGAAAAGCTAGAAAATATCGTGCCCCACACAGATTGTTCACCCATCGATCCATCCATTTCACCGATAGCTCGTGCCAGTATGCCACACAAATTGTTAACCGAAGGGGCTACCACAGCTAGCAAACCAATCAGAATCACACATCCATATATAGAGAGCTGACCGATCACACACAATTGGGACGTTGAGAGGGACATGCTCCATCACATGATCTCTCAAACCCTATCATTCGTAGCCTGTGGACCCCACACGTCCTCACAACCATCTCCCTCCCTCCTCCCCACCTCTCGCCCCCTCTCATCTTCCTCCTTAAAGAAGAAAGCAGCTGGCATGGGCTGCTTGTATTGTTCCTGACCTTTTCTCTCCTACCTTATCCCATATACATACACTTATACCCACTACACACACACCAAGATCCAAGAACCTTCATTGTGCTCCCCCCTGATGAGCTAGCTAGCTACCCCCCGTTTCTGGCATCTGTTCACCCATGGCATACTCGCATATCTATTCCAGTTTTCCAATCATCCGAAGAAATCTCGAGGCCCATATTATAGTAAGCTGATAGGCATAGCCCTAATTCTTTTCTCCAAGAATAGCTGATTATAGTACTGTTGCGTGCCATCCCGGCTCCCAGAAATAGCATACAACCAGTCAAAGTCAGCACCTTGGTGCCTCAAGCTCGGGAGGTTGGGAGGGAGCTAGCGCGCCAAGTCCATGGAGTTCTCGCCAACCGCACCGGCCGGTGGCGAGGAATCCGAGAGGGTTTGCGCGTCGCCGTCGGTGGTGGAGAAAGAGCACATGTTCGAGAAGGTAGTGACTCCCAGCGACGTGGGGAAGCTGAACCGCCTGGTCATCCCCAAGCAGCACGCCGAGCGCTACTTCCCGCTCGATGGCGCTGCCGCAGCGCTGGCGGCGGAGGGTAGCGGCGGCAAGGGGATGGTCCTCAGCTTCGAGGATCGCGCGGGAAAGGCGTGGCGGTTCCGGTACTCGTACTGGAACAGCAGCCAGAGCTACGTGATGACCAAGGGCTGGAGCCGCTTCGTGAAGGAGAAGAGCCTCGGCGCCGGCGACACCGTCCTGTTCGGCCGCGGGGTCGGCGACGGCGCCGCGCGCGACCGCCTCTACATCGACTTCCGCCGCCGGCGCCCGGCCGAATCCTACAGCGCCACCGTAGCTTTCCCGCCACCGGCGACGTCGTCTTTGTCACATCGCCTGCCGCTCCTCCCGTCTGTGCCGTTCTGCCCGTGGCGGCGGGACTTCGGCACCACCTACGGCGTCCCCCCCGCTGCCTCGGGGTCCAATCGTCATGTGCTATTCCTGCGGCAGCAGGTGCCAGCGGCTGTGGTGCTCAAGTCCGTGCCGGTGCGCGCCGCGGCCTCCGTACTGGAGCCGCCGGCGAGGCCTATGCCTAAGCGAGTCCGGCTGTTCGGCGTGAACCTCGATAGCCCGGCCACGGAAGACGATGGCACCTGCGGAGTCACACAGACGGTGACCTCAACGCTCCTGCAGCAGCTGCTGCCCTCGCCGTCGTCGTCAACGTCGTCGACGGCGGGTAAGGAGAGGCAGTGCTCCCTGGATCTTGGATTGTGAATTCAAGGCCAGATTAAAGACTAGTACTTAGTACTGACACGCGAACTTGATCCAGTCCAGAGAGGCAATGCGTGATTGGGGCAGCCTGCGTACGTATATAGCTCCTGCATTATGTGTAACATTCAGATCAGATGGGTTGTTTCTTGACGATATGCATCTTACGTATGATTATTTGCTTGCTAAACTAGCTAGTTAATTATATTGTTCTTCATTTTAGTCTGAGTTTTCCCCTTGACAATGAAAGAATGTATCAAACCTCTCTGAACCTCTGCATCATGAGATACATTCACACAGATTATGGCTTGATACGCCCCGTTCTATAGATTTATGGCTCCCCTTCATTGACAAAAGAAAAGTATTTATCGCTTCCCTTTATATACTTACACTACAGTGTACAGTCTCGTTCCCTGCTCCCTGCATATGATAACAATTAGCACCAATGTAGGAGTATATGCAACTCATGCTTGGGTACGTTTCACTTTCAAGTTTCTTGAAGCAGTGTCGTTCTGGAGATCGATCACAAGGCTCTCCTCCCTAAGCAAGGTAGGGGCTAGAGGAGGTCAGGTCAGTGTCAGAACCTAATCCTTCTCCTACATGTACAGATATCCGCATCGATCTGCTATGAACATTGTCGTGCTAGCTTCTTGGGTTGGTTCTCGTGCGCAATTCTTTCCCAGCTGCCTCATGCATCTGATGTCTACCGATTTCTGACGCGCTTCTGACTTTGTTTGCTGCACCGCATGCATGCTGCAAATCTCTGCAGTTCGTCCAAGACTCTTCTGAAATTATGCCGGCTGCTTCAGCCTTGAAATTAATACTGTTACTAGCCAGCCATGTCAACTGGTTGTGAGAACTGAGAAGTAATACTGTTATGAAGCTTTGTGGTGCTATCGTGCAACCACCGTGCGGTGGAACACCCTCTCCAGTTCAAATATTCTTCAGGGCACAGTATTTGTATATAGCACCTTCAGTCCATAGTAAATTAAACTGGCATGTAATACTAATATTAATACTAGCACCTTGCCCTTCTACGTTGTGTCCCCTCTCTGCAGCACCGGCAGGTACTGGGGTCGTGGTCCTTTAGAAGTGATTATAAAACACGGGTGAAAAGCGACGAGTGGGGCGTTTTGGAGCTCGGCCTCCATGGAGGCCAATTTTTTTTGGAAAATCCAAAATTTAAACCTCTTAGTTAAAAAAGACTAAAAAAAATTCTACATATATACAAAGATGTGATGTGTATGTGTGTAAAATTTCAGAATGAAATACCTTGAAATGCGATCTGTGAAAAAAAAAATCATGAACTTTGAGGATGAATAATGCATCTACCAAAAACCCTAGATTTGTTTGTTTGTGTTGCATTAATTTTAACGTATTTCTTCCTGAAAATTTACACAACTGTGCATTATTTATCTATATATATATGTGTGTTTTTCTTTCAATTTTTTCTGAAACATGCACATTTGAAATTCGGCCTCCATGGAGGCCGAGCTCCATTGAGTATTTTCGGTGAAAAGCCTACTTTCTTTCTTTTTTTTTTGAGGGGAAAAAGCCTACTTTCTTGAAGAGTTAATCCATATCAACAATTCCACATGCATGCTTATTTATCAAACAAGCCTGGTGTCCCATGCAAACAGGCGTACAATGTCATTGACCGGGAGTAGTGATAATTATAGGTTTTGCTATTCCTTAGGACTGAGAAATACCTATTTATAAATCGGTGCTAAGAAGCATCACACTGATGTTGGCGCGTACATAGGAATGGAATGTCAAGAGCTATGAATATTGACTTGGAAATCAGCCCAGAGATAGTTATTTCATATAGTTACAAGTGTTGGACCGGTGGGCCCGGAAGTGGGAGTTTTACGCTATAAGTCCGCAATCATTCTGCGGGATAGTCTTGTTTGTGAAGCAAGTGTCCCTTTAAAATTGTGTATTGTCTTTTTTCTCTTTACACCACTCTTACATACCCATTTTAGGACCCCATGGAAAAGGGGAAAGGGTTTGTGACCCTTCCTCGCAATATTTCAATGCCCCCTGTCCGGCGGGCCCCACAACGTATACCCCTGGTTTTTCTTCAAAAGTGGGTGTTCCATGTGGATATTCTCTTTATTTGTGTCGGAATGGTCATAGGGATATGAGCAAGCCAAAAACATGCTAATATAAGGTCTTACAAGAGTTGTGTTGGCATGCCAGAAGTGGGAGTATTGCGCTATAAGTGCAAAATCCACATGCGGGATAGTCCTGTTTGCAAAGCAAGTGCAACTTCAAAGTTGTGAATTGTCTTTTCCTCTTTACACCACCCTCACATACCCATGTTAGGACTCCATGCAAAAGGGGGAGGTTTTTTTTACCCTTCCTCGCGTGATTTCATGTGTCTCACTGTCCGGCGAGACAAGCAATGTATACCACCTAGTCTCCATACAAAAGTGGTGGTTCTATATGGCCATTCTCTCAATTTGTGTTAGAATGGGTCATAGAGACATGAACAAACCAAAAATAGGCCAAGGTCTTCCAATAGTTGGGTTGGTGGGACTGGAAGTGGGAGTTTTGCACTACAAGCCCAGAATCTTCTTGCGGAATAATCATGTTTGTAAAGCAAGTGACACTTCAAAGTTGTGCATTGGCCTTTTCCTATTTACACGACCCTTCAATACCCATATTAGGACCCTCCCCATAGAAAATAGGAAGGGTTTCCGACGCACCTCACACGATTTCATGCGTCCCTCTGTCCAACGGTCCCTGCGATGTATACCCCTAGCTTTTCTTCAAAAGTGGTGGTTCGATGGGGATATTCTGTTTGTTTGTCTTAGGATGGGTCATAGGGACATGAAAAACCCAAAAAGCGACCAATGTCTGACGGCCCCTACAACGTATACCCCCCTAGTTTTTCTTGAGAAGTGGTGGATCCTTGTGGATATTCTCTTTGCTTGTGTTAGAATGGGTCATAGGTACATGTCAAACCCCAAAAGAGGCCAAGGTCTTACAAGAGCTACGTTGGTGGGCCCGGAAATGGGAGTTTTGCGCTATAAGTCCATAATCTTCTTGCAGGGTAGTCCTGTTTGTGAAGCAAGTGCCACTCCAGAGTTGCATATTACCTTTTCCTCTTTACACCACTCTTCGTACCAATGTTAGGACAAGTTGCAAAAGGGAAGGGTTTACGACCCTTCCTCCTGCGATTTCATGCATCCCACCGTCCGAAGGGCCCACAACATATACCTCCTAGTTTTTCTTCAATAGTGGTGGTTCCATGTTGTTATTCTCTTTATTTGTGTTATAATGGGTCACAGGGACATGAAAACCCCATAAAGAGGCCAAGGTCTTACAAAAGTTAGGTTGGTGGGCCCAAAAGTGAGAGTTTTGCACTATAAGTCCAGAATCTTCCTGTGGAATAATCTTGTTTGTGAAGCAAGTGCCACTTGCAAGCTTTGTAGGGTAAGTTCCTATTTACACTACCCTTACATACCCATGTTAGGACCCCATGCAAAAGGGGAAGGGTTTTCAAAAAAAAACCTTCCTCACATGATTTATTGGTTTCCACTGTCCGGCTGTCCCCACAATGTATACCGCATGTTTTTCTTCAAAAGCGGTGGTTCCATGTGGCTATTCTCACTACTATAGAAATGGGTAATAGCGATGGTATTGGTACATGGTCCGGAGGAGGTTTTCTGTTATGCCTCTAAGTCAATCACCCTAATACTCAAGTCGGCGCAGGTAGTTTTAAAAACCGCCTCTAATACTCCATGTGCCATAGGTGGTTTTGAGCAAAAATCCTCCTTCGGTATCCCCGTACTCATGTTCACTTGCCTCGGTCAGTTATTCATACACAACCGCCTCCAAGCTTGGGGAAATACTAAAAGGATGCTCCCCTCCTCACGGTAGGGGAAACCTTGCATGGTACACTTCATACATTTATTTACTAGCACATCTTACATATGTAAATTTTACAAGGTGGAATGGGATTAAAATTTTATCTCTCCTAATAACGTGGTACAATATAAGCCATTTCCTTGTAATTTCTTACTCGGCTGGACTGTTACAAGATAGACTTTTTTTACTAGTCGGACAAAAGTACTGACATCCTGCAAGTGCATAGGGCTATGTAGCACAATCCATGATAAGTAAGTGCTCAATCCACATGGAGCGAAAAGGATGGCACTATCAACCCTGCAACTATGTTGTGACCTACGCAACTACATTCACACCCAAATCATAGTCTAGAAATAGTCTATTATATCGTTTGCTAGGAAAATGATAATAATGCCGGTGTATCTAAGCTACGAACGAGGAGGTAAATACTAGAAATAAAAAGAAAGTGAAGTAAATGTAGCGGCACTTGAGTAATAGAAGTGTTCTTAGGAGTTTCATAATCTACATAACATATTGATGGGGAAAGTAGTAATTTCAAAAAAAATCCTACGCACACGCAATATCATGGTGATGCATAACAACGAGAGGGGAGAATATCGTCCACATACCCTCGTAGACCGTAAGAGGAAGCGTTATGAGAACGCGGTTGATGTAGTCGTACGTCTTCATGATCCGACCGATCCAAGTACCGAACGTACGGCACCTCTGAGTTCAGCACATGTTCAGCTCGGTGATGTCCCACGAACTTCGATCCAGCAGAGCTTTGAGGAAGAGTTCCGTCAGCACGACAGTGTGAGGACGGTGATGATGATGCTACCGACGCAGGGCTTTGCCTAAGCGCCGCTACGATATGACCGAGGTGGATTATGGTGGAGGGGGCACCGCACACGGCTAAAAGATCAACTGATCAACTTGTGTGTCTTGGGGTGCCCCCTACCCTCGTATATAAAGGAGCAAGGGGGAGGCCAGCCGGCCCTAGCAGGGCATGCCAAGAGGAGGAGTCCTCCTCCTAGTGGGAGTAGGACTCCCCTTTCCTAGTCCCACTATGAGGGGGAAGGAAGGAGTGGGAGAGGGGAAAGGCAAGGGGGGCGCCCCCCCTTCCTTGTCCTATTCAGACTCAAGGGGAGGGGGCA